AATGGCAACAGGCAGCTGGACTCAGACAGTCCAAGACCTTTTTAACAGGGCCTCTTGGCAAATCTGAGTCTTCTAAGCTTCTAAACCTAAACAGAAGTCAGATTAGGAAGATCGTCGGTGTCTTCACGGGACACTGGATGGTCAACTATCACCTGCACAATATTGGGCTTGTGGAAGACCCTGCGTGCAGGTTTTGTGGTGAGGTAGAGGAAACTACCGAGCATGTAGTCTGTTACTGTGACGCTCTGATCAGGGACAGACATAAACTCCTCGGTGACAGTTACTTGGAACCGAGGGAGGGGAGGAAACTAAGGCTAAACAGGGTCTTATCCTTCATTGAAGGGAACGGGCTCTAAGCTTTGGTTGTTTAGAGAGGGGGTTAGCACAATGGGCCTTTGATGAGCCTAAGTGCTGCCTGTAAAGGCTCCCCTGATAGAATAGATAGAATGTAATTATCAAATATTTTGTAACTATGAAAATTTGATTTTGATATGTAAGCACGAGCACCATAGCGCCCAACCCATTTTGTGATTAAGTGTACGTATTTATATTTTCGAATACTCTCCATTAGCTTTTCATAAACGTTAATTCATGGTATTCTAATTAAAGGTCTCAACAAAAGGAACTTTCTACCAACTACTCTTCTCTCTTGCTCCTTATCAAAATGAGGGGGGGGGGGGGGGCAACTGGTTTTTATTCTGCATAGTACTCTAATGAAAGGTCTCAACGAAAGGAATTAATTTCTACCAACCATAATGCTCCTCCTCGACTCCTTATTGTAATCGGGTATCTTATATCTTAAGTGCGGATTGTCGGAGGAGGGTATTAACAAAGAACGATTGGGACCGATTGGTGATGTCAAAACTTGCAATACGCATTTTTCGATAATGGAATGTCGGAGGAGAGTACTCACAAAGGACTATTGAAACATCTGGACTAGGCATATCTAATGGTAAAGTGTCGAAAGATGTTACACACAAAGAGCAATTGGGGCGCAGGGGTGTTAAAAAGTGCGCTTAATCTGCACAATTTGTACTTGTTAAATTTCTGTAATGAATTTCATAGTTGCGTTTAGGGTTCAGCATAAGTAATTTCTTAGTTTTAAATACCAAAATAGGTGGAAGTATGTATTCTGATACTAACGTTAGATTACTGTGGTGCTCGTGTAATTCAATGGGATAGTCTAAAACGCTTTCTAATATGCAGTGTGTCCCAGATCGGGTGGGATTGCATGGGTAACTTTGTTATTATTAAGGATAGAGAATTGGTTAAATAGGCAATGTTTTGCAGTTTTAGATGCTTATTTAAAATTTCCTTTTGGAAATTCAAAATGTCGCATAAGTTCGACGTAAATTCAAAAAAACTAAAATTGGTCATTTCCTTGAATGTCTTATATCATCGAAAGTATAAGAGATATAAAAAAAAGTTTTATATAAAAGTGACTGTCTTTGATACGTTTAATTTAGAATTGATGTCAAAAAAAAATTTAAGATGGCTACTTTTGAGGAACATTTACCAACTTCCTAAAGTTAAATAGGCGCCATATGGGATTTTTAGATTACTTGATAGATTTTTTAATTCTCTTTTCAACGAGCCATCATAACATAAGATTGAAAATAAGATACCTAGTTATATCAACGGTTTTTATATTTTAATTAAGTAGGCTGTGATGAATTAAAAAAAACAAAACAAAATCTATTCGAGGCAACAAAACAATGAAAATAATTACATCAGAGGTTTAAAAAAATGTACAGTACATTAAATTATAAAGGTAAGTACTTAATTAAAAAATAAAAGTAAAGTGGAAGTAGCTACCACTACAATAATAATAATAATCATCAATGGCAACACGTTGCCTAAACTAAACTGTCTTACAGTGTGTTTCACTAATAATGGCCAGTATTTTAAACATCTGGTGTAATTGTTTTCATTGTTTTGTTGCCTCGAATAGATTTCGTTTTGTTTTTTTTTATTCTTCACAGACTACTTGATTAAAATACAAAAACCGTTAATATAACTGGTATCTTATTTTCAATCTTATGTTATAATAGCTCGTTGAAAAGAGAATTTAAAAATCTATCAAGTAATCTAAAAATCTAACATGGCGCCCATTTAACTTTAGGAAGTTGGTAAATGTTTCTCAAAAGTGGCCATCTTAAATTTTTTTTTGACATCAATTCTAAATTAAGCGTATCAAAAACAGTCACTTTTAGATAAAACTTTTTTTTATATCTCTTATACTTTCGATGATATAAGACATTCAAGGAAATGACCAATTTTAGTTTTTTTGAATTTACGTCGAACCTATGCGACATTTTGAATTTCCATAAGGAAATTTTAAATAAGCATCCAAAACTGCAAAACATTGCCCATTTAACCAATTCTCTATCTTTAATAATAAGAAAGTTACCCATGCAATCCCACCCGATTTGGGACACACTGTATAGCCAATTTCGGAATCATCAGGGTAATTATTGATATACAAATCTTTAAAACTTGCCTCATCTACAAAACAAAATTTCAAAAATGCTATACGCTCGGACATTGCTGCACCATATAAGTTGTTTACATCATAATACATTAAGAATACAGTTTCATAATTAGGATCAACAGTGACTACAAATTGTAATTTTTGCTTTGGGGATGAAGTAGATTTAGTTTATCCCAACTATCAATGTACTGATAAGGTACCCTTTGCGAGTTAATAGAAAAAAACTCCTCATCATTGTTACAGTAAGCTATTGTAATCATTTTTCCCCCAGTTTCCAAAAAGATAGCTAACTTATCAATACTACTGTAAGGGGGGGGGGGGGTATTTTTATATATCAACAAGGGAAATCTATCTACTGTAAACTCACCTTTCATTAGAAACGTCCTTTTGTAATCTACGCGTAAGGGGTTGGCATGGCAGCATTCAGTCTGACTGGTCGTCTTCCGCGCTCAAGGGTCATGTAAACAAATATCGCGACTGCTTAACCGCGATCCTCGCTAATTAATTAAGTAACTTACCGGGGGGCGTAAGCCCCGAACTGGCACTAAGCTCTCCTGGATCTCCGAACACTCCGGTTGGCGATTGGGGTTGAATGCGTCGTTGGAGATAGCTTCCTGAAGGGTTAAGATGGAGCTCAACCTATTTGGGAAAGGGTTACGCCGCGCGCACGTGTATTATTTAGGATACACATCCCACCTCGGCCCTCTGATCAGGACCCTCGGCCAATAGATCAGTAACGTCGATCTATGTCACTCATTGGCCTACCTGGGAACGACATCCAGGTCAAGCTCACCCCCGAACTCTTTTTGTTAACAATGAGGCCTTTATGTTTCGTATTGGGTCGACACCATGATCTACTCGAGCGAGTAGATCACTCAGCGGTATAATCGACGGGGGCTACCCGCGGGACCGCGTCATAGGCACATGCACATAATGCACTTCTAAAAGCCTAGGAATATATCCGGATATCTGCGAGGGGTTTTACCTAAGCCCAACAACAAAGCACAACCAGCACGATGGCCTGCACAATACACTCACCACCAACGCGTGGGAGACACTCACATTAAAGGGCTATTACACCAAACTCACTAATACGTCCGATGCTCTACTTAGCATCCCTTATACGATCGTGACCAGAGCGCGTACGCAACTTAACTGCCTTAACACGATCCCTTAAGACCCTTGCACCCATATGTGCAGGATCGCGCATACTTGACCAGTCAGCTTGCCACATTTATCAAATAGGGGTTGCGTTGACATTTTACTTTTTCGTTATTTAAGGCCTACCCTAAAATATGGTTCTTACACTACTGTTCATAAATCTAAAAGAGTCAATAAATCTGAAACTAATTATAGTACCCTCTAACGAGGTGTATTTTTTTGTTGATAGGCAACGGCGATGTACGACCGGTAATTCTCGTAGCGAAGTCTCTAATAATGAAATGCGAATCATAACCTGACAAATTGTGAAAGACAACGGTAATTACAGGGGATCCTTATAATTTAGGTTACAATACTAATGCGGCGTTCCTCGATATTCCCCGTGAAGTGGTGGTGATCTCTAACCTTCGTATCGTATTAAGTGAAAGGTTTTAAGCAAATGTGGCCAACTGTTGAATTCGTAAAGTTATGAAACTTTTACATTGGCCCAATGGAAAATGCTATGAAGTTCTTTAATGAACCAGGAAATGCAATCGTTTCCCCTACAAAACATAAATCGTGATAATGAGTCGTTGTAATGGCACTTTAAACAATATGCAATGCAAAGGTATATGTTTCGACTGAAATATGGTATCGGGGAGGCTAATTAAGTTTGAACAATTTTCTAACATAGATTTTAAATGCTTGTGCCTGTTCATTATCTAACACCATAAAAAAACGATTAACTTTTCCTTTGCCGTTTAAAACAATTTCCCCTGTTTTCAACTTTCCGAACCATCTCCTTCGTCTTATTAAGTTATTGAGTCGTCGATTCACTAGCGTCGGTGTTTACGACGGTGAAAAACATCTGCTTATCTAACAGTTTAAGCAGCGATATCGAAACTTCTTATCGCAACGACCGGAGATCCACTTTTACAAAAGAATGAACTTAATCTTGTCACGTAATTTCTTTACAATTATTTTCAAAATACAAATGATTATTAAAACAAAATACAGTATTAAATCATTCTTTGAAAAAAACCACATTGGCTTCAAATTCAACCAATATGATCGAGATTGCGTTTAACCTCAAATAACAACCAACATTTAACGCTTAAAAATAAATTTAATTTAACATACAGAGAGAACCATCCTTATGTTAGGTGTTAATACCAAATAAAACTTCCGCATGGCGTAATTTACATAACAATATATCGGATGTTATATAACATAAACCTAACCTTAATGGACTTCACTGCATCTTCTCTTCATAAATTATAGAACATTAATGCTATCTAACAAAAAGTCTTAGTAACATACCACGTTTGCTAAGAAAGGATAATGTAATAAATCTATTTCTATATTACAGTAACTGTTCGTGCCCGAAGGGACCACAGGATAAAAGATTTCTTATTAGTGGTTGAGCATGACATATCAAAGAAACCGGTAGGTGATGCTTCGTATTCTGTGGGTACCTTCCAACTTCGAAATATGTTAACAAAATTCAGCGACAAATGCCCGAACGCCGTAACAAACACGAACGTTATTCCCAAAACGGAAGTGGAGGTAATTATACTATTATCTGTTCTGTTGAGCAATGTTGCCTTGCAGATAGATTGGAAGGCCCCAGACGGTGAGACGGGCTGCGTTGCTTTCAAACTGGTAATAGTAGAGTCTCGCGACGTGTGGTACAATGAAGGCAGTAGCTTGGTGAAGAGATTTTGTAAAGAAGAAAAAAGGAATGGTGACGTTCAGCCGTACGTACTCCAGCATTGCTGTGCTTGTGACGAAGCAAAATATGAGGTTTTTTTGATTCAGCAAAAGTCCTTGAATCAATCACCCCGTTTTAGGTCACCTTCGAAGGTTTGTGGTCGCGTAATACGCATCCTAAGGACTTTCCCTCGGATGTTTGGCGGACTCGATTCAGCGATGTTATTGGTGCATCGCATACCACTGATTACCACTTTTGGAATTATGGAGAACTCTCCAGTGACGGCTTGCGTGAAGTAGCTGAGAACGCAAGCACCCGTACTTTAGAAAGTGAACTGAAAGCCAAGGTATTTAGATCTAAATCCTCTATGGTTACTGATACAATTTCCACAGAGCGAGCACATAAGGACAATAATTAAGGCCAGGGGCATAGGATATCCTAATGTTACCGGCAAGACTTTTGCTGTATTTCGTGTTGACAATCGCCACCATTTAATGTCTATCGTTTCCATGATTTACCCTTCGCCAGATTGGTTTGTGGGGGTTTCCAGTTTAGAATTATGCTTGGAAAATTGTTCCTGGGTGGAGTCGATGACTCTGCGACTGTATCCAAACGACGCAGGCACAGATGAAGGGTTGACATACGACGTAAGTAATTAACGGTTGTTCATTTCCATCAATCACCCCTCTAGGCTCCCGATCAACCCACCTACCCCAGAGGTGTAATTCGAAAAATAACATCGAACAGTCCTAATGACGATCGTTCTCCGTTCTACGACGAGCAAGGCATTCCGATAAAACCACTTGCCAAACTGTACTTATCGCGACAGCGACTGTATGAGAAAACATGCAATCAAATGTACGATTATCCCGAGTACGGCGACGAAAACTGCGAAGTGACGGAGTGGTCCGCGTGGACCGCTTGCTCTGTTACGTGCGGGAAGGGGATAAAGTACAGACAGCGGCGGTACAAAAATGAAGGCAATCAGCACAGCTGCCGAATGCGCCTGACAGAGAGGGCGTCGTGTAGGGGACTGCAGAAGTACTGTCGGGAGGATCCCAACGGTGCCGACAACGAAGACCCACGCTGTAAGTTGACCGATTGGGGGGAATGGTCGACTTGTAGCGTAACGTGCGGCATTGGTACAAAGACTCGAAGCCGAAGGTATCGCAATAGAAACGCTGCTAAACGTTGCGCGGCCGGTCAAGAGAATCCGCCGATTTTGGAACAAAACCTTGAGTGCAACGGGGAAGGGGAGGATTGCGAGGAAGGAGAAGCAGCTGAGGTTAAAAGTGGGTCATGTACGTGACTTGGAAAATAATTTTTATTTCTCCAGAAAGAACCAGACTGCCCCGATTACCACTGGAGCTCGTGGACTCCCTGTTCCTCGACGTGCGGCAAAGGTGTCAAGGTACGATATCTACTGTCATTGGAGGAGGGTGACCAACGACAGTTTCTCATGAGGCAAAGTAGGGCTCATGGCGCTTACGATGAATATAACGTACCAGGTGGCGATGAAGAAGAAGATGATGAAATCAGATCCACGAATAACGATTGCGCAAATCGGAATCCAGTCGAGGTTGTGGAATGTTACGCTGACGACGCTCCGTCGTGTGATGAACTATCAATTACGACCGAGCCAGGTAAGTCAGAACCAGAACCGTATGCTTAAAAGCAATACTAACAATAACCATTAAGCTGTTGCATGTAGTTTGCCCAGAAATAACGGACCTTGCAAGAGTAACATAGACAGGTGGTACTTTGACAACATCAATGTAAGATGTGAGGTTTTCAGCTACAGTGGCTGCCAAGGGAATCACAACAATTTTAAATCTTTGAGCCATTGTAACGAAGTATGTGGCCAGTACCAAAGTATGATCGCACTTTCACGACTAGTTTTTTGCTAATTGAACTTTATGCATGCTGCTAATTAGAGGAATTGTTGGCAAATAGGACCTCTCAAAAACGTCAACTCGGAGTTACCGTTTCAGGAGTTCTATCTTACAATATGCAAGTGCAGAACGACGCTGCAATTAACTGTGGTACTTAACTTTTTTGGTTAATTCTACTCTACTATTTCTGCTCTACTCTACTAGATAATGGTTTTTTGTATAGTTACAGATGCCCCAGTATTACAACCTGAAAGTAACGAAATTATCGATCCTGATGGTGAAGTTCAAAATTGTAAAGTGACGCCTTGGTCAGATTGGAGCCCTTGCAACGTGACAGGCGCTTGTGGGCATGGTTTTAAAGAGAAATATCGTGAAGTATTGGTAAGTTGCTTGCAATATGCTATGAGGCCAGACCAGCTTTGGTGGTTACCTTGCGTGTGCATGTTTTTCAAATCCTTTCAATTCTGCTTTTCCTTTATTCCTTGTTGTATTTCTTTAGTTTCTTCAGACCCTTCTTTTTTCATAGTTTTCTGGTCTCCATTTAATTAATGCTCTCCTCTGTAATTAAGGGAGGGATTTTTTCGGACAGAGTACCGGATTGGTGCTAAGAAGACTTGCGTCCCTTTTTGAGGGACTAGTTAATACTTTAAACTGCAAAATGTGTAATTTACATTTACGTGAAAATTGTGGCACCTATGTTCCAGATTCCAGCTGCAAATGGTGGCAAACCATGTCCGCTATTGTCAAAAACAAAGAAATGTAGAATTAAATGCAAACCGGGTGCAACAGGTAGGTTCACAGGACAGTCATAAACGGCGTTCATCACTTTCACACTGCAGATTATTCAACATTTGAAAATTTACCAAGTTGGCCAACGGTAACAACTCACACGCAAGGTATTTACTGTGAAATGTCCGAGTGGTCCGCTTGGTCGCCGTGTAGTCAATCGTGCGGTGCTGAAGCGGTGCAGCAAAGAACTCGAAAAATAATGAGACGTGTCACTGGTAAAGGAGAACCTTGCTCATATCGCATCGATCAAAAAAGTTGTCAACTACTAGCATGCCCATTACGTTAACGAAATACATTTAAAATAATTAGTATTAGAGATATAATTTTTTATAATTATCAACATTCGAATTGTGTAATAAGTAAACAATCGTACTTACCAATTTACCATATCATATTGGCATGCTATTCAAAAGTATAGTTTACTGTAATCTACTTGACAATAAATTTTAGATGTTTTAGAACCCCGAGTATAATTGTATAAACATATTTTTATTAATTAGTCATTATATTAGTGTTTGACTTAATGTTATTTTCTCTATTGATATATACCTAGATATTGTATAATTTCAATAATAAAATTGTACCAAAGCGTGCAACATTCCTAAACCCGACTATACCGTGTTCATAATGAACTTCGAATACCAATCGTTAAGCATGATCTTGTCCGGGTTTAGTAACGATTAACTTGGTTTTGTAAAATGCAAGTCTAGGGATCAACAGAGTCGTGGCATACCCAAAATCAGAGACCTGAAAAACCAGCAATCATAAAACGAAATCGTTGCATTTTGACAAATGTGAGGAGACTAAAGGAATTAACCGTTGGTCAAACAACATTCAAAATATCTACAAATTAAAATTAATTGTAAACTCTGGGGACAGAGAATATAAGCAGAGCCATCCAATTCAAACAGTCGGTTCGGACAGGGAATTCAACAAATTACTATAATCAAGAATATATAAGAGACATCATAAATGCATATGTAAAACAAGAGTAATATCAATTATACAATAGTTATTATTTATCTTGGGCATTAAGGCGATATTTATGCCGAGAGCGACAGAGCCCGGGAGCCTCAGACCCGAGGGATTGTAGGTCGCCCGAGGGCATGAATCCGCAATTGAGGTTAAATCAAGTCAACTTCAAAATCAAAGATTGAAACTCACAAAAAATGTACAATGCTGCATACAAAACACAAATACATTATAAAGAAATGCGCAAATATATATAATATCTGCATTAAATAACACAAAATAAGAACCAACACTGTGAGCGATGATGTCACGAACTTACGAACTTAATAAATTCGTGGGTGATGCTTTCGCGACACGAACTTATACATTAAGATGGACTGCTGATCAAACTGTTGCATAGAGGTAGAAATGGCCCTACCATGGGCGCGGCCATGATGTGCACGTTTTAGTTATTTTCTAGGGGAATTTTCCTAGTGCTCAAGTTTTGAAACTATTGCATCCTTGGAAAATGACATGTGTCACAGTAATTTATTTAGAAAACGTGAGGTTAATGCTTGTTTATTAGTTGATTTGAATTTCGCCAAGATATATGGAAATTATTGAATCGCCACTCATTTATCGCACATAGATTCTAAACTGAAGAGCTTTGATTAGCGTAATCCCGCTCCGGCAAGATAGGTAACCCGCCCTTGGTTTCGGGGTTTAGAGCCTACAGTTGAATATAATCACGGAATTAGGTGTCGTAGCTCAATTTTGACTACAGTTTTTACCACCCCCGTGACTGCTTCATTCACGGAGAAAATGGTTAGTTACAAACAAGTCAGTACATTAGTACATACATCAAACGAATCAGTAATTTCCACATATTAAAATAAAATGATCAAAACTTATATGTATGAATGTTACTTCAGGGACAATACCAAGTCATCACTATCAATAAACATAAATTAAGCAAGTATTACACCAAAATTATAAACAAAAGGATAACGGTATTAAACATTTCATTCTGCATTGCGGTTAAACCAAGTAAATTTCAAAAACAAAGATTGAAACATACAACATGTATAAAATGCGGCATATAAAACAGAAATACGATATAAAGAAATGCAAAAATTACTACCTGCATTAAATAACACAAAATAACAACAAACATTTATGGAGCGACGCGTTCACGACCGCCATTCAAGACAAGATGCCAAACGTGAAACGAACCCACGTTCGTGCTCTCCAGATGGCGCAGGCACCTTTTTCCCACAAAAGTCCCTAGATTAACTTTATTGCCCACCCAAGGATGCTATATTATTATATCGGGTGAAAAAGAACTGCAGACAGTTTAAATTGGGCGCTTTAAGTTTTTAATGTTTTTTATTTAAGGAATTGGCAAACATGTTTAGAAGGTAATTTATTCATGCATTAAGTGATTAAATTGATCCACCACTGCTTTTACATAAACCACATTTGGTATGTTACCAACTTTATAAATGTTTAGTTCTACGGGAAATTCAAACTGTCCGCACTACTTTTCGATCACCCGGTATAGCATCCTTGTTTCCCACCTAGAAATTGCATGGTTGCCAACTCTCAAAAATATATGTATCGTCGTAAGTTGTATGTACACGTACAATGAACAATCGGAACTTTGCTCCAAGAAACGATTAGTCAAATATACAGGGCAACATCACGCTCATAACCACCTGCACAGTATAACAAACAAGCATGATTTAGTTTGAGTGCCGTACTCATAACAAAAGCTAGGAGCACACATTTTATGCAAAATGTACCTACCTAAATAATAAAAACTTGTGATATGAAATTCCAAGATTGGTGGTTAGTATGAGAAGGAATAAAATGATTATTATACTTGTAAGTATAATATATAAGTATTATTTCAAGCAAAATAAACATTTCAAAACCCGGTACGCGTGCCATTACCAGAGAGCTCGGAAACTTTAGTGACCGACACCAACTATTTCTACCAAGCTTCGTCTTGAAAAATCCCTGTTCTTCGGCATCTGCGCAGTGCGCAGAACGGCCGAAACACAAAATGTTCTTATTGCATAGCCCAATGAATAAGTATTCTTTATTCATTGGCATAGCCAGATAAAAACCTTAAAACAACACAAATCGCAAATATAACCAGATGCTCCTACCGTTTTTAACACAACTTTTCACTTTTACAATTAAATAAACAAATCAATTTAAAATTTGTACATTTCACAATTATTGTTGTACAAAACAACGTTGAACTTCAAATTTGAATAAAACCTCGGTGTTTAATTGATAACCAACAGCGACCAAATTTATCACTCCACATACCTACAGGGTGTCCCATTATTATTTTAGATGACAAGCCCAAACAACATGTCTGCATGACCTTTACACAATAATATCTAATGCTGAAACTCTGAAGACTAAGACATTCCCTCTTACCGAGACCTCAATCGATTTATAAAAGTTGCCCGTACAAACGAATGTTCAGCCAATCGTCTGAGAAACCAGTTAGTGAAACTATAAGCTCCTTTTTGATAATCAAAAATGCACAAAAAATATGTTTGGATCTAGTTAAAAAAGTGCGACATTTTTGCTCTTGCTGAAATCAACCTGAAAACGGGACATATGGCCAGTTGCATATTTAATTGTAAAGTTCTGTAGATAAATGAAAAACTGTACTTTTATTTAAATTTAAAAAATAAAAAAATATTTGTATTATTTACTTTGTAATGTTTGATTTAATATTAATTTTCTCTTTTGATATAGGCATTGTATAACTTCAATAACAAAAAGTACTTAACTAACAGAATAATAACAACACAAACAACAATCTTAATAACTAGTCATAATGTCTTATTAGAACCTGCATCATCTGCTTTTGGAGGTATAATTTGAAATTTAAGGTCACCACCTTTCATTCTCTTCTGTAAAAAGCGTGTTTCGGTCTTCAAGTTATCTTCTAGAAATTTATATATAGCCTCCTGTAACATAAAAATTGTATGTAGTTGTTACAATTAAAACATGCACATACACTTTTTTCGGCATTGTTCGCATCACCATTGATAGTGACACGAACTTCGAATCTTTTCGCTATCCATTTTATTATCTTTTTTACATGTACCTCTAGGTCATGTTTGCTTATTTGCACATTCAGCATTAGTAATTTTTCACCTTTTAGTGCGTTACTGAGCTTATCCTGTTTTTTAGTTTGTCTTGATTTTAAATCCTCCGTGTTATATTCCGCGCCCGTCATAAGTTTGTAGACAGGTCTTTGCGTTTTATTATCCATGTCCACCAATTTAACAAGCTTTAGGGCTCGTCTTTTCGACATGTGTTGGGCTTCCTCGAGTGTAGTGATACTCATATTATCATCGTTCACAATTAAAGTTATCTTGGGAACCGGTTGTGATTTTGGTCGCTTTTGTGTTTCGCCTTCTGCATTTTTTTGTATAGGTGTTGTGGGAGGTTTTGCAGAAAAGTGCTTACAAAGGGTGTTTAAAAAATTATTATGTAGTCCGCAGACATTACGTAAATTATTTAATCTCACGGATATCATTTCAAAATAGTATTTTGTGCATTTCAACCTAAATTCAGCATACGAAAATGTGGTTATGTTCACTTGTAGTTCTGGTGTCGTCAGTAGTGAGCAGTGGTGGCTGTTGTTCTGCGTAAGTTCGTAGATACCTTAGGCCATATAGTTGGACTGCTATTAGCCCTCACAGAGTTGTATACAGGGTGGTGACTTGCGTAACGCATCATAGGGATTTCAATGTAAAATTCATAACATGCGATTATTGGCTCCCCAAATTATTTTAGAGCAAAAATGTATTAAGGTTTTCTGTCAAAAAAATTTTTTTACGTCAATCAACCGTATTAGTTTTCAATTTTTTGCATAATAAAGACGGAAAATTGGAAAAATAAAACCCCCATCTTCTTCAATAATCTGTGATGCCATGGAATTTTATAATACAAAAACAACGCCAATATCCGTCATGCCATGGAATGTCTGCTATAAAACAAATCAAATTCTATCAAAAAGTATTATATTTATAACAGCGAATTCAACATAAAGAAAGACCATTACTAAAAACGGTTTCCTAATATAACAATTTACAATAAATGTTCGAATAAGTCACCATTAACTGCAAGACAGTAACCAAGTCGATCATAAAATCCATTTCGAACTGCTGCTAATTGATAACTGGATATCTTTTTGTTTTAGAAAATTCCATGGCATCGCAGATTATTGAAAAAGATGTGGGTTTTATTTTTCCAATTTTCCGTCTTTATATGCAAAAAACTGAAAACTAATACGGTTGATTGACGTAAAAAAATTTTTTCTACAAAAAACCTTAATACATTTTTGCTCTAAAATAATTTGGGGAGCCAATAATGGCATGTTATGAATTTTATATTGAAATCCCTATGATGCGCTACGCAAAGTCACCACCCTGTATAAGAACTCTGTGTTAGCCCTATGCTTTCAATACAAAATGGGTGGTCACGGATAGAGGGCACTGTAGTCGTGGGTATGTGAATCTCAGGGTAAACTAAAGTCGTATGAACACCACTCGGATCGCGTGAAGAGCAGCTTTCTAGTAACCGCGTAGTACGGGAAGTTTTAAATACTCTTCATTATTTGCTATACGTCCACAAATAAGAATAAGTTTGCTTTTTTTTGGGATATCAAGGCGATTAATTAATTGACGTTTCACGTTTGTTAATTTATAGGTTGACAGTCTCAAATCGTGTCTCATCGGACAAACTCGTTTACCCTGAAACTGACATACCCAGGCGATGTCCTTGACCATATTTTAGTTACAATTAGCAGTCCATGTACTATGTCTAAGGTAGATACTCGCAAACAGCATTGCCAGATTTCGGTAGAATGCTTAAACTATCGACTTTCGATCGAATCACGAATGGACAGAATCCGCTACGTTAAAGTTTATAAATCGGCCTTTAATCGTAACAATTCCATCGTTATGATAAATTGTTATTTATACAATTTATGCATAGACATCTCGGCCGCTTTCTTTCGGTGATCCAAACGGGACTGGATTGTCAAATCACGTTCTTTCGAAGTGTGCTAAAATCGTGAACAAACTGAACATACTTTGATTTAAATTCGCTCGTTCTTTCGTAAAACGTGGTGCTACAAATCACGATCTTGAAATCATGATCGCGAACGCGAAGTAGCCGAAAGAAAGCGCCTTATGAATCCACCTTAAGACACTGGCCACAGGTGTTTAATTTCTCGTAAACCAGCCTTTACTTTTCCATTGTAGCTACTACTACATGCAAGTCTACAGGAACTATTCATGATTGGAAGCATTTCGAAATTCGAACTACTATACATAACCACATTTGTCTGTACCGTTGCTTTATTTTGTAAACGAAAAATTACAAATGTATCTCTTAAGTTCTATTTGAAATGAATTCAGTTCGCAATTTCATACGATTCTCTAACAGAAATATATATCGAAAAGGATTCCATGATTTGTAAAACTTTAAACGTGCACAAAATATTTTCTTAATTTCCTGTTGCAGGAGAACCTGTTGGTATGGAAACCATTATTCTACAGACGAAACTAGTAAATTAAATATTGACTATGCAGACATTCCCATAGAAAGAATACGAAATTTTAGCATAATCGCACACGTAGATCATGGAAAAAGTACTTTGGCGGATCGAGTTCTGGAAACCACTGGTGCAATTAAACCGAGCTCTGGAAATGCGCAAGTTTTAGATAAACTGCAGGTCGAAAGAGAGAGAGGAATTACTGTGAAAGCTCAAAGCGCCTCATTATTATACAATTATAATGGCTCGGACTATTTACTAAATTTAATTGACACACCAGGTCATGTGGATTTTTCTAATGAGGAATGTATTTCAAAATCTTGTATTTTTAGTAGTAGCAATACAAATGTTACTATAGGTTTCACGGTCGCTGTCTGCATGTCAAGGTGTCATTTTATTAGTTGACGCGAACGATGGCGTTCAAGCTCAAACAGTGGCAAACTTTTATCTCGCTTTCGGAAATGATTTGATTATAATTCCAGTTTTGAATAAAATCGATTTGAAGAATGCAGACCCAGATAGAGTGGCAAAACAGTTAGAAACATTGTTTGACATTGACCCAAAAGAAGTTCTAAAGGTAAGTTTTATAATTCATCTGAAAGAACGTCAATGTTAAAAGCTTTCGTTGATATTCAAGATTGTTAACAGTTCACCAATGTTATGCAACTGTTTTCTTTCAGATCTCAGCGAAATTAGGCACTGGCATACATGAAGTACTAGAAGCTGTTATTAAAAGGCTACCACCCCCACACGTGGAAAGGGACTCATCCTTCAAAGCTCTACTCTTCGACAGTTGGTACGACCGGTATCGTGGCGTACAATCCTTAGTTTATGTCCAAAATGGACAAATAAATGTGGGAGATAATGTCACTTATTACCACACAAATAAAAATTACGAGGTTAAAATGTTATCAATATTAAAACCCGAGGAGGTGTTCGTTAAGAAATTGTAAAGTAATCACATTTTAAATGTAATGATGTGTACAATATTGAATTTTAGAGTTGCAGGACAAATCGGGGTAATATGTTGCAATATGCGTTCCAGTAAAGAAGCGCACATAGGTGATACCGTACATAAGACTGGCACACCTGTAGAGCCCTTAAAAGGATTTAAACCTGTCAAACCAATGGTGTTTGCAGGTATATATCCTGTGGACCAATCGCAGCACGTTAATTTGAGAAGTGCAATAGAAAAACTGGCTTTAAATGATTCTGCTGTTAGCATTTCCATTGACACAAGGTGAATGTTGCTTATTATTTAGAATGATCAATTATCTATTGCTAAGAAATCTATCCTTCAGATTATGCAATTCGTTAACACAAAAATACCCCCTCTTATTGCTGTGAAAAAATTTTTTTAAATTTATTGGCAAGAAGCTTTTCCAGAAATGGTAATCAGATTATCATATGTCAGATATTATTGTACGTATCTAACTGACCAAAGACATCTACACGATAAGGCATAGGTACTCGGCCCTCTTGTCAACACTAGCACAGGGTCTGCATTAGGACTATTATTTTGTGCGGGTTTGAAAAATACTAAATGGAATAGTCTACAATAAAATAAAAAGTCCATAATACAGTAGACTCTCAGTAATCCGGAAAATATCGGACTGGGTTCTGCTGGATTACATGAAATTCATTAATAAAAACGCTTAAAAAAAACAAGTGTTTTACGGTACCAGAACAACTAATAATAATTTTACTGTTTTATCATTTCTAAATGTGTCTTTTTTGCTTGATTATTGTGAGAATGTAGTTAGGGTTGTGTTTAGTCGTTGGAATATTGTAAAAGGCGAAAAAAAGCGAAAAGAAATTAGATTCGGCTTAAAAAGCACGCAACATATTGATAGCCTCTTTTTAGTCAATCTCATCTTATAGGTTGGTAAAAATGCTTAGCATTTTAAGACTACACTATAGTGAGCATATTTTGCACAAATACAGTCAACAATGAGGTACCAATTTTACGTTTGTGTCTTCAGTTTTGAAGTGTAATCTATATTCGGTGCAATACGATTTTGCACGCCCATTTTGTTCGTTTTTATTAGAGGAACCCCATAAAAATTTCACTACAATTATTCCACATATAAGAAAGTTGGCGCATGCTACCCCAACGAACGCCGGAGGAATTTTCTCAACCTCACGAAAAAGTTGCCTCAATTATGTTTTATTATTATTTATTTAAAAGGGAAAAACTTGAAATCTTGATCTTCCGCTAAACCGCCGTTGGCCTTCTGTTAAACGTTGAAATATGTTTAAGCACGATTTACTCCAAAGAATAATAAGAAGTGTATAATCTGGAGATTGGAATTAGTGATTGTATAAACAAAATAAATTAAATAAACTTTTTATAGTCCTGCTTTAGGTCAAGGTTGGCGACTAGGCTTCCTGGGACTGCTACATCTCGAAGTCTTCACGCAAAGATTACAACAAGAGTACGACGCCGAAACCATTTTAACCGCACCATCTGTAACCTACAAAGTAAAATTAAAGGAAACGAAACAAACTTTGAAAGCGGGTAACTCGGAAATGTACATTACGAATCCGATTCATTTTCCGGATCATCTAACGGTTGAAGAATATTATGAGCCTATGGTGCTAGGTAAGACTGCAAGAGCCAGATAAGTTTGCCTCACCGTGTTTTTCAGGCACAATTATTACACCTGACCGATATTTGGGTGCGGTTTTGACATTGTGTTTAGAAAAGAGAGGTGTGCAAAGAAACGCGAGTAATATCGATAATGAACGGGTGATGATGCAATTTGATTTACCTTTATCTGAGATTGTGATAGATTTTCATGACAGTCTGAAAACGATTTCCTCTGGGTATGCCAGTTTTGATTATGAGCCAACTGGATTTGTATCTACGTACTTAGTGAAGGTATGAGCTTTGCTGTTTTTCACCAACGCAATGTGAATGCTTCAATATTACAAGTAAATTAAAAAAAATTATTCACAGATGGAAGTCTATTTGAACGGTGTTGCTGTTGACGAGCTCAGCAGCATAATACATGGTAGTCGAATTGACACAATCGGACGACGAACAGTTTTAAAACTTAAGGAAATCATTCCCAGGCAGCTCGT